AAAAAAAAAAAAAAAAAAAAAAAAAAAAAGTTGAAAGCAACTGTGGCAAGAAACTCCATCTCAAAACCAATACCATTGTGAAATGGGACTGTCAGAACGTTTTAGCAAAGCCAGATCAGCTAAGAGCCAAGGAATGGTGCTATAGCAGCTGGCATCGCATTTCTCATGGCACTACCATTACCCGTCTCTCCTCTAGACGATGTGCTACCTTCCAGAAAATCTTTTACAGTCATGTGATTTCATTAGTCATGTCTGAGAGAAATACATTTCTTCTTTGAGAGGATTAAGAACGTTGATCGTTTTGGATCACTTAAACATATGCTTTAAGCTTGCTCTTAAAATGGAAAGGTTTGTAAACAACCTTGAAACTTTATCCTTTGGACGCATCTTTCTTGAACCTTATTGATAATAAAAGACTAACAAGGGTAATATTTGCAGTGAGCAATAGTTTAGCTTCTCAGTGCTCAAGGATGTTGGCATTCTTAAACATTCAGAAAAAGCTGACATAAAGTAGGTGAATTTTTTTTTAAGGAAAATGCTTTATTCAGGAAAAATCTGTCATAGCCTTAGGAAGATATTAAAATAAACTCTTCACTGCCTTAACTAGACCTTCAGCGCCTAACTTGGTAAGAACTGACTTTCAAAATTTATGCCCAATTTTCTTTCCCCATCTATTAGATCCCTCCTGCCTGGATTTTATTGTACAACGTTCACCCGGTTTTAGTAATGTAATGCTAATTTCTCAGCTCGAAGGATCTTCAGCTCTAAAGAAAAAATGAAATTTACTGGAGTTGCGATATTAGTCAAATGGTGGTGTGGACGTAATCATTCCACAACATTAGAATGATTCTACAGGTTTTTCTTGTTGTTCTGGTGTCAAACCCACCTTATAAAGGATTTGGAGAATTATTTGTCAATATACTCAGTGCAAGGACTCCCTGTAGTCATTTAACTAACTTGACAAACTTTTGTATAAATAGCTGTTGGAAGCATTACAGTGATTGTGGTTCTGCCATCCAAGACTGCAGCAGTTGAGAGATCCTCTGGATATCATTCACATTTGGTTTTTGTTCAGACACGTCTATTGACACGGCTGGTCTTTTTCAGCCCTGCTAACATCTAACAGTATAAGGTGCTATAGAAGTAGCATCTTTCACACCCAAACCAGTAACCATTAAATGAGAACTTAAAATAAAGTAGTACTATAAGAGCTGATCAGTATTCAAAAACTTTTATTTTTTTTTTTAAATCTGTTTTACTGAGAAAGTGAGGGGAAATGGCTGAAAATGCTTTAGCCTTTTAACTTTTACAGAGTAGATTTTGGAAAAATTTCTATAAGGAAACTCACAAAAAGGGCTTTCAGGAAGTCACTTTTTAAAATGTTAATTGAATTTAAGGAAGCAGAAACAAATCTTTATATAAACATTGTGACTAGTGTTACAGCACAAAAAGGTACTGTATTTTTATGAGGTTTATGCCAACTGTTGACATGTACTTATATGTGGTTAAATAAAAAAAATGTAAAATGTATTCATGTTTCTGATTTAACATTTCTGCCCCTTTTTAACTGATTTATCTGTGCGAATTGGAAATACTTCTAGCTCTGAGTGCAAAAAAATTCTTCAGTGCAGTGGGCACAATCTGAAATTTAGTATCTCGTGTAATATCTGTGCCAACTGTAACACTTAGTACGAAGATAAAAGGAGGCACTTTCATGAGACAAAGATGCTAAGACCTATTCGGTACTGCCTGGCCCTCTGTCATTCTTATCTACTATTTTAAAATATTGTTTCATTTTTGCCATTTTCAGTTCCACTAAAAGCAGTGAAACTAAATGGATTTCACTTGAATTTTCCATTAAGATCCACCCTTGAGTCTCACTACAAGATGAGTAAAGAAAACTCCTCAGCAAAAACAAACACATAAGGGAAGGGTTCAGATTTTTTGGATATTTGCATTTTTGAAAGCCGCTTGGAAATACCAATTATGGCTTGGGAACTGTGTATTCAAATTGCACTGCACAGTTTGCATAAAAAATGTTATTTCACCTAAGTTACAAAATGTGAAGGTCTGTAGTAGAACAATATATTTTTAAGACCAAAGGTGCTCCTCTCATCTCAGCAGCTGGACAGAAGACTTGAAATCTTCTTAACTAATGCTAGTGATCTTCCGTGTAAGCTTTTTGCTTGTCAAATAGAGTAGGATAACAGGTGTGGTATAAAAAAAAACAGGCTTAAATCTATAAATATTAAAAAAGAAAATGTTAGGGAATGATTATTCTTACAGTGACATTAAGGCTGGGGACATAAAATGCTAGTAAAAGTTGTAAATATGCCATCTGGTCAGTGTGCATTCATTACCTGGATGGTGAAATCTTAGTGGTATGTTATACATATTTCCGAATATAGCTAAATGATACAAGCATTTTAAAGCTATCTGAGTAAAAAGTCAAGCAGTTTATTGTAATCTACCTTCAACAGAGGTTTAAGCTGATCTGTTTGTTTGGAGGAGATAAGAAGGATTTACTGGGTTGCATACCAGGCTGTAGCCAGGCAGTCCCTAGGAATGGCTTTTAACTGTCTTGGCTGGAACGAACGGAGTTTTGCTAGGTGGAAATGGAAAAGCTGAGGAGAAATATCAAAAGTTAATATAGAGCAATGGAACACAGGAACAGTTTTCCTAAACTTGCCAGAAATAATAATAGTGGAAATGCATGGTACGACCATGAACACTAACAAAAGTGTGTTAGATAGTATATTAGCCCATGAGCATTTGCCCATGTTGGCCATGTTGTTGCCTTCTGTATCAAACAGATGTCCCATTGCAGCTGCTAATGAAATTCCATGGGCTAGATCGCCTATTCCATGATTAACTTAGAGGAAGAAACCCAAGTCATCTGCAAAGTGTTCTCTAAAGTCTATAATATTAAGCATTTTTTCTTCTGCTTCCAGAAAGGAATGGTTGAACTCTTCAGATTCTGCAAATTTCAGATTCTTCTCCGTCTTTTTCTAAGTATAGGATGTTTTATTTGTTTGTTCATTTTGTAGTTTCTGTTGATTTAACTATATGGAACTATACCATTCCTATTAAATAGCGCATATGTTCTATTTTCATGTTCTATTTTCCTCTTAAGAAGGCTTGATGTGTTCCTGAGAGGAACTCTTCAGGTCTATCTTTTTTGAAGAAATTACTAAATGTGGCACAGTCACAGATGAGGAAAAATAAGATGCTTATTTAAATAACAAAATTACATTTCTAATAATATTTCCTTCAAAAATTGACTCACCTTGGTTGTGTGAGATGTGACAGAGAAATCAGATCAAACGGTGCTAGTGTAATCAAGAAAGAACAAAATTTTAAAAATCATTTGGAAAATACACACTTGCTGGTTTTAAAATCCCCATTGTCTCCTCAGCAGATTGGCTTCTATTTCTGATACTGTCCTATAGTACTGCATTACTGAAGTCCAAATCATGTATGAAAACATCAGCTTCTGAGTGGGCTCATAACTGTTGCTGATCAACAACATTATTAGATCCTGTTAGAGCTTGCACAGAACATCTGTTGCCAACAGATAATGCAGTATAGATGCAAAATGGGAAGAATGAGTAACTTGATGTCTGGCTGACCAGTGCTTCAAGTAGGATGACCTACGTTGATGAATGATATCAGAAGAGACAGTAATGATGACAACTGAGCTGTTTCCTGAATATCAGATCGAGTTCTTTGGACTCTGGGTCAGACACTACAACTACCTCAGCTTAAAGGCCTCCCTACTCGTGTCAGAAATGCACAGGAGGTAATTGATTAAAAAGTTTCTTCTCCTTTTGCTGTTAAGTGAGAAAAAAAATGAGTGTTGATTCTCTAAAGTTTCTGCAAATGAGAGTATTTCTGTGGCCACTCTTCCATCTGTTCAAGATACCAATTTACAAATTGGTTGTACAAGCACCACTGGTCTTCCCTGTTTGGCGAGAAGGACAAGCTCTAGATTTGGGCCTGAAAAGGAAAAACTTCAAAGGGGAAAATGTCTGACCTTTGGTGTTCATCTGGAAGGAAGCAAGTCGTTTGAGCTTATTCAGTTGACATGGCCAAACTTTTTCTTTTTTTAACTAATTATTGGAGTATTTATACACTTGCACGGTATTGTCAGGGTTTCAGCTGTCCTGATGGCCAGGCCTGAGACCATCTCTGGGTGAAGCTTGAGGAACATAAAACAGGCAAAGAGTAGTTTTCTTTGTGTGTCTCTGACGGTAGAAAAACTACAAAATCCTAGAAAAGTTGAAAAAAAAAAAAACCCTCTTCAGAAGCATTGACTTCTACAATATATCTATTCCTAAAAACAATTTTTGTTTTTCATAGCTGATGAAATGTACCAGACTGAAAACACCATGAATAGGATACTTCCTACTTTTTTTCCTAAATTAGCTTTATGATTGTTCTTGAGTTACTGCATTACTTTTCTTCCTTGGTTTTGGTTATGAAAATGCTCTTGGTTATTTGGTTGAATTGTTGAAAGTTTAGTTTTTTACCTAAAGTAAAAAGGGATTGTAAAGCCACACTTGCCTTTACAGCCGGTGACAACCTTCAGTGTGCAGAACTGATAAATGAATTGAGGAACAGGTCAGCAGTGATCATTTGTTTGGTGGGATTATCCTGCCATATGAAGAAGTAGTGGAACCAAGCTGTCATATCCTGTTTCATGATGACCTGATCTGTCTGCTGTGTGTAACCAAGCAAAAGAGCTCAGAGGAGATATTTGGAGATCTCAGAACATCCTGCAGTAGGTGCTGTGTTCAAAATACTCAAA